AAGTTCAACATGATTTTTCAATATTTATTTGCATCCAGCAGCAAAACCAGTGTGAGCTCTGACAGCTTTATAGCTGTCAGAGAGCTATAATCGGGCAAAGAATATGTGATTTTCGAAGAATGGGACCTACGTTAGTTTTCAAAACCTTTTTCTAAAAGGAAATATTGTCACAAGACTCAGTGCATGATTAATTACCTATAATCCACTCGTTTTCCAGGTTGTCAATAGTCAGGGTACATCAGTTCTGGGACTCCAGGGAAATCTGTTATCACATCCAAACCACCGGAAATCAAGATCCAGCCGCTTTGAAAAGAGGACACTCTGGACTATCAATTCATGAAAAAGAATCAATTTAATCCTATCGGAAGTTTCATAGACACAACTATGTTTTCAAGAACTCCTAGAAACCTATTCTAAGAAATCTTCCTAAAAAGATTTTTGCTTATGGAAACATGCCCTCTTTTCAATGGTGAAAACCACAAGTCTCTATCTCATTCCAATCAAAAGCTATTCAAAGAATAGCCACCGGTCTTATAATTTGGTTCTGATAGTACATTATTTTATTTCTGAGAAAAAAAATATTGTTTCCTCAGAGTAAAACTTCTCTCAAAACATTACACCTGAGATAAGGTCTTGAATATCTGTAAATAAAAGTTTAGCTCAATCAGATGAAATCTCAACACAATCGTATGCTGGCAGATAAAGCTGACCAAGAAAAATATTCGAATAAAAAAAAAACTCAAATTGCGTAAAGTAGTAAAGTTCACTTTTGAAGACGGATGTGCGAAGCCAGTAGGACATTTCTGGCATATTAGGTTGATATGTCATAAATTTTCCTACTTGATTTTCTATTTTTCCTTATTAAAGTTCTTTAAGGGTCAAAAAAATCTCCTTTTGTTGAGAAAAAACGTGACATCTCATTCCAATCAAAAGCTATTCAAAGAACAGCCACCGGTCTTATAACTTGGTTCTGATAGTAGAAAAAAATGACTTAAATCTCATTTTTGTAAAAATGTCCAAGTTTTGGCTTATGTACGTCTTCTATAGATAAAAAATTAAGAAAACAGGCTTTCACTGTTCTAAAGGACTCGATCTGCTATATTGTCTTTTCAGTTTCTTTCTATGACATTTTTTGATGAGAAAAATCATCAGGGAATAAAAAGATAGAAACTTTTCAACAATACGAATACTTTAAGTCGTCACACTGTCCTTGGACATGTTGACAAACTGACATTTTTTTAAACTATGACAATTATAAGAACTCTATACCAACCCAGAATGCTGGCGCTCAAAGTTTGCTCAGGTTACACGCAATAAAAACAAAGATTGTCGCATCTTATGTATAGCGTGTAGAATGCATAAAAACAGAGATGAGTGATCGTAAGTGTACTTATGATTAATTTTTAATCAGACCGATAGTTATTGTAGATGATGACATCCAGAAACTACATGCAGCAGATTTTCTATGAATTTGGCTATTTTGATTAATTGTCACGATACGTTTTTGACTTATTGTTTGGAAAAATGCAGCGATTTCTCTTTAAAAAGGAAAAGCACATGGTTCGCGCCCAAATTTTGTTCTTTTATGCAGTTCAATGTTCAGTGTTCAATAGCGTAAGAAAAACTCGCGACGTGCTGTTTTTAGAATAAAAATGTCAATCAAGAGAAACAAAATAACAGAAAACTGTTGCCATAAATTACACAATATGCATGTTAGAACTCTATTATATAGGGTGAAAATCACATGCAGCTTTTGAGGGCGTGAAAAAAGATAGCTTTATTCAAATTAAAAACAAAATTTCTACATAGCACCAGACTTTATCGGTTGAATTTATACGTTTCTGTTTTGCGAAAACTTTCCCTGTTGTCTTCCGAAACAGTTAAAGGTAAAGCAAATCTTGAAATTCAAAAAAGATTTTCATAGAAAAAAACACGTTTTTTTAGGTTTAAGTTGGATTAGTGTAGTGCACTTTTTTGAAAACTCATCGGAAATAAAAGTTGTAGTTAATACTGTAGAAGAGACGATGAAAGATTTCTGACATTATACTACTCATTTCTAACTACCAAATAGAAGCTTCAAACGCTCTGAACTTAAATTGAACTTTTGTTCTCATATAACTCGCCTCTAAAGTAAGAGTGTTAAAAAAAATTGTCCTGGAGATACTTCTTCTAATCCAAATCTTGACTGGAAGAAAATTCACTAGGCTAAAGTCCTTTACGTTTCTTTTATCGTATAATTTCCATGAAGGTAGAAACAATGTAGAAAACTTTGATAAAGATTTTCAAAAGAAAGCCGGCCTTAATGTGAGGTTTATAGTTTCCTATCGTTGTGCTCTAGAATCAAACAAAAGCTTTTCTTTCTTATTTTTTTTTGCATTATTAAAAATTAAATGCAGAAACTGTTTCCTTTCTTCTTCCTCTCACAGACAAGACGAGAAAAGAAAAGACAAGTTCGTTGCACATTATGAATTTAATAAAGGGGAATATCTTTTTCTATTCGTCTCTGCTTTGTTATATAATACCGAGCTCTCTTTCTTTCCATTTTATACAAAATCACAAAGCGGAAACAGTTTTGTATACCATCAGTCTTCATTTTTTTCTTCTTGTTTTTTAACTTTCTTTCCCAGACACAAACACCAAGGAATGACTAAGAAATGTTTTCAACTCTATGTTTCTTTGTATCCTCTTTTCTGATAAACATATATCATAGGATTCTCCTGTTATACGTGAATGTCACGATCAATGTGTGTGAAAAAGTCTTTTGTTAATGATTTGCTCCTCTGAACACATCATCATACTTTTTCTCCTCTTATCATTTATTTCTTGCTGTTAGAGTTCTTTTCCTCTTCTTTTAAAGATAAAGAAATAAATACTTTAAAAAGTAGATTTTTCTAATCATTATCATGAATAATGGTAAAAACTAGAAGAAAAAAAAAACAACACATACACTAGGTAGTGGAAAGAAAGTGACACCTCTAAGAAACTCGACCGGATAGAAAAATAATGATAGCAGAGAGTATTATCTCGGGTTTGCTTTCTTTCCTCGAATGCTTATTACATTTCCAATTAGAATATTCTCTTCGTGTGTGCCATTATAAAGTCATTCATAGCTATCAAATCATTATAGTTTTTCTTGAAAGAATGTCTATCTCAATTAGAAAGAGATGACGACTTCCTAACAGATCAGGTAATGTTTTATAATGTCCAAACTGTTGCCATGGCGAACAATTTTTACTCACACTTATATCATTACTTCAGTACTTCTATATAAAAAATACTAATCTTAGTGCAAGAGCATGAATGAAAAGCTTTTATAAGGATGTTTTGTCTATAGTTTTATGGTTCTTGTAAATATTTATTATCAATAGTATTAGTAACGTCCATTTACTGCATATATTCACACAATATCAGCTATTGGTTTGTTCTTGAACAATCTTATCTAATAGATGTACTTCTTGTCAAATTTATCTGAACACTTTTAGGTTACTTAAAAAGTAATCTACGGATGGGATGAGACACTTTAGTTATAACGTGAAGAAGTCCTGCTCATGGACTCAAGTGCAAAAAAAGCATGTCTTTTAAAAGTCTTACTCTAGGCCGTTGATCTACTCTAACATAGCAGTGTAAGAACTTATCATATCAATGTTTATCTTCACAAATACGATAGCTATTGATCTGAAATTTTTTGTGGATGTAGCGTTCAACGTAGTTTTGCCACAGGATACTGAGAATCATTTCTTGATATTTAGAGTACCTCAGCAGCAATTTTTATTCAATCTCTATCCGTACCATAAGGATTGTTTGAAGTTTACTTTCGAACTGTCAGGTAGTATATATTAATTGTGACGATACAAAGCGGGCTCGAATTTGTGAATGCTTTCGCAATACTTTTTTATCTTAATCTATATCGCTCGATTCATAAGATTAAAAAACAGAAGCATTTTTGAAAAATGAAGAATCAGTTTCAAACTTTCCAATGTAAGATATTTCTCTTGTTATTACAAAATTTTGATTTTTATATTTGATATCTCAGTTTTAAGCTATTAATTCGGATATACTTAAAGCACAATTTCATGAGAAAGAACGTGTCCCATAATCTCTTTTGCCTGTTCATCATTACTTTGATTATTTTTTCAAGTTTTTCTCTTCTATATTATGTGTTTATTTCTAGATCATTATTGTCTGCTCTGATACAATCCCATTGGTTTTTTTCTTATATATATCAAATTAAACAAATGTATTTATATGAAATCATCAGAAAATCCATTGCATTTAATTCAGACGAGTTATAATACTAATGTAACAACAGATCAACCACAATCAGAATATCGACGAAATACGCAAATACAACAGGATATTGTTGAACATTTTAGTCAAGGTGATAATCACAGTAACAGTGGTACAGGTAAAGGAAAACGAAAATCATCTGTACATGATGTCACCGAAGTATCAAAAGAAGAGTTTAATAAAGTAAGATAAAAAAAATTTTTTTTTTTGTTTTGAGATTTATATTCAGACGATAAATTCGTACATTGATAGTTATTATATATATTTAGATTATAATTGATCTGCATGAAAATTTCTCTCGTTTGAGAGAACATTTAGAAAATCTTGATCAATCAACAATTCAAGATAAACAATATTTAGACGAATTTTTAAAATCAAAACGACAATTAATTATGAATATTAAACATATTATTGATAAAAAACTTATTCAAGAAATAACTACAACATCACAAAGGTTTACATTATTGTTAATGTTAGACTCATGTTTTTAACTATTCTTATCATTTAGATCATCAGTCGTCCAAAAACAAGCATTACATACTTTATATGCACATCATATTATATATCTTATTGAACACTTATGTACTGAGTTATTTAAAACACACTATTTACTTAATTCATTTACATTATGTAAGTATAATTAGACAAAGTTACTATATCAATTATTTTAAACAAAAATTTTTGTTCTAGCTTCATCATCAAATTTATCTGATATTGCTATAAAACAAAAAAGTATATCATTTTCAGAAAATGCAATAGAATTTAAAAAGTAAGCACTTGTATATTTATACTATTTTCTATGATTAAAGAAAGAAGGAGATAGAAAGAAATCTAAGTTATCGATTGTCTTTCTTTAAGGATGACAGTCTCTTTAATTTTTTTTGTCCCGTTGTGATTATCTTTTCATCTTCTTTTTCCGGTATGAGTTCATATAAATATGTTTTATTTTTATATTTATTCTGTTTTCTTCTATAGAGATATAGCCGATTTAGAAGGCTATGCCTATATGCTTGGACAAAAGTTTTATTGTCAAATACCAGATATTAATAATAGTAATGGCAGTAAGTAACAAAAAAATAGAGTTTATAATATCAACATGATTTTTTTCTTTTTAAAATGTTTTAGATGAAATTGCCACGATTCAATTAAAATCAACAAAATCTAAAAATCAAAAATCATTACAATCACAATTTTGTGCAAGATTGTATGCTAAATGTCATTTTGTTTGTTGTATATGTTCACCCACATATATCTAAAGACAAAACATTATCTATTTATAACTGTCCATCATTACAACTATGCATCATTAATTGTTTTTTTATTTATTTTATTCTCTTTCACACGTCCACTTTATTTAATTATTCGATGTAAAAAATGTACAAATTATTGAACGCCGGCGTTCGTACAAAGATATTTGTTGATGTTAGAATCTACTCTCATATAGGATCATCTCTTTTTTTTACTGCTTCTTACCTTCTATTTTTTCTCAATAATCATGCTCGAATTGATTCTTAGTAGTATGACCCTCTTTCTCTCTCTCTTTCGTTATATTTTGAATCTTTTGTATATATGTCTATGTATTGAATCGTTAAAAATTCTCTTGAAACTAAATTTCAAGAGGTTTTTAAATTAATTTTCACTCGATTGATTGGAGACTCTTTTCTCTCTTTACATGCAGTCACTTTTCCGGTTGTATAACTATCACGCATGTTGTATATCTATCTATTTATCTATCTATTCGTCAGTTGTTGTTTTTTCTATCTATTTACATAAATAAAAAGCGTGCGTCTAACAAAAGAGCGGTAAAATTTGAATATTGTAGATTACAAGGTAAACCGACAAGTGGATGGATAAGGACGAATTGAGTATTGAACATTAGGCTCTTATTAGCGAGAGCGATTTTAAGGAATAGACTATAACTTTCTATTTCTGAAATCACTTTTTGTAATATCCATCTATTGTGTCATGCATGTTGTCGCATGAAGATGATATATTACATATTTTCAAGCTTTAACACCTTTTGAACTTATTCGTGTACTCCTGCAGCACAGTGGAGAAAGATACGTATCCTCGTCAGAAACATATCATTTTTTATAAAAAATCGGTATTGAACTAAATACATTATCAGGTAGCCCATAGTGTTTACTGTCAGGATCCAATGTTATTTTGTCTTCATCGAAGGGGTATAGAGGGTTTTAGAAAAGTTTTCTGAAAATCTTGAAAAGCTGGCTTTTCGAAACAATTTTACTTTCTGATAAAAAACCAAATGCAAAAATATTTTTAGTAATACCAGAAAATAGAACAAATATTTCTGATCAAAATAAGATATCTCCCAGCTTTGAATGATGTTCTGATCAAGTTATGAGAGTTTTGCTGGAAGCCCTAAAACATCGCAGAGAGCTTGGTAGGGTCTTAAATTGAAGCTGACACATGTGGCTAGAGGCTAATAGAGCCCGATTTTTGTTATTGCGCCTAGATTTGTAATTAGAAAAATATCTTTATGCAAGCAAGCTAATGAGACTTTTTCGAATTTTCGAATTTGGACCATTAATTTGAAAAGTAAAATATCAAAAATTCAGCACTATTAAGCCTCTAGCCACATGTGTTTTCGTCAGCTTAAGACCAGCCTATAGATGTGCAGGGCGCACTTATCCTACTCTATCCTACCCTGCAGAGTAGGGTAGAGCTAGGGTTTCAGAGTCACAGGGGAGGGTAGGGCCAAGGCTTCGAAGTCACAGAGTAGGATGGAACCAGGGCTTCGTCTAAAAAAGATATATCGTCGGTACAACATTGAGGTCGCTAGCTAGCAACAGTTACTTTAAACTCTTTATTTTATCGGACGCATTTTTGGTGCAATTGGCAATATAAAAAAAACAACAACAAAGGCTGGACGAAGAAACGGTCGATGACATTATGAAATTGTAAAAAAGAATTTTTATCGATATGATTCATTTATTTAAAAAAATAAAGAAATAATTGTAAATGAAAAATTCTCAAATTTTAGGTAGGGTAGGGTCAGGGCTCAAAAACTTTTCAGAAGGTAGTATAAGGGCTCCGTTAACAGTTACCCTGCACATCTCTAGGCTAGCCTGAGCTCTGCACAACGTTTCATTACTGAGAAATCTTGCAACTACGAATAGCCCTATCTTGGCCACTGTTGTGGCGACATCTCATAAACCATGCTGGACAGAGCCAAACAAACAATTTCATCACCATACTTCACAAAATCAGCATCTCCTAAAAGTTTGATCAAGATGACACTTATACTTTCTGAGATAGGTTGCTGACGACGGAGTGGGCTTAAGGTGGCTCCCACCCTCAGAAAATCGGCATTCTCAAAGTTGCTTCAACTTTGATCCAAGGGCTATAGTCTTTGTATCTATCTTTCAAAATCAATGATTCTTATCGAAAAACTTGATGCGTTTTAACAGATTTTATGTTCAACTCTTTTATAAAACAGTAATCTCATAATAACGAGTGAGTCAGATTAAATTGCCGATTTTTCATAGGCTGTTTTCTCAAGTTAGGCTCGATCAGAAAGTTTGGTTATGGTGTCAAAAGATAGAGAATTTTATGCAGATTTTATTGATATATTCCTCTTTAAATAAGCATGTACCGTTCTTTTGTAGCATTAAAAGTGTTAGATGCCACAAAAATATCATTTGCTCAACTACAAAATCAGAAACGTGTAAAAATCAATTTTTCCCCAGCTAGATTAAGTTCAAAAATTTCTTTCTTGTAGTAGGAGATGTAGAATTTTTCGATGTGTCTTGCGGTGTGTTGGGTTTGATACGCTGAGCTACTTCTTCGAAAACTACAAAACAACAAAAAGACGTCTAACAGAATAATCCGAAAGTTTGTCTGTTATCCGTTTATATTTTATACTATTGTTTCATCATTTTTTAATCCATCATCAGTGGCGGTTCGATCGGGGAGGGGGATGGGGGAGTTACCCCCCCATACTTTTTTAAAAAAGTATGAACGATTTACTCCCAAATTTGGGAAAAGATAAGAACGATTTACTCCGAATTTCGGAGAAACCTGAGGGATGATTTACTCCGATTTTGGTTTTTTCGAATACTAAAGTGCTGCTTTCTCCGAAAACTGATATTAAATGTGCTCTTTGAAGAAGCTTTCTTAACCGACTTAGATGACTTATTTATATTTTTTTCCGCCTACGTCTGAGAAAATTACAGCGAATGTAACGTTTAGGCAAACTTAATGAGTGATGCTCATCAATTATTTATACTTCACCATGAGTTCGGAGAGTCAGGGGCTTATTTTTGGAGACCTTACTCCCATTTTTGGATTTACCCCATTTGGAAAATGGGGGTATCAATATTTTCCCATTTGGAAAATATTGATGAACAATACTCATGAGTATTTTACCGAAAGTGGTATGAGTACTCAACAATACCCAAGCATGAGTACTCAAAGTCGTACTCAGAGTACTTGTTACTCACTCATGAGTACTCATGTGAGTGCTCAGTGAGTAAAAAAATGTGTGAGTACGTATGAGTACTCGTCCGGTTTTTCTATCAGAGTACTTTTTGAGTACTCACACTTGAGTACATTCACTAGGGTATACTGTCCCACATAATTAGCTGATGGTAGTTTGTTATGATATTGTCCCCGCCATCATAATTATGTATGTGTCATTTCACGACAACACCTAACTGAATAGAATAAATTCAGTTACAAATGGCTGTCTGTGGATGTCTGTGTGCTGTCTGTAGGCGTCTGTGAATGTCTACATGTTTTACTATTATCCCAAAAGGTGGTATCAAATAGTTTTGTTCTCAATCAACCTTCTTGTGTAAGAAGTGATCACTTCAAACAAACGTGAACATAAAAGTATTGTTCAAAATTTATTACAATGGAATTTACTACGGCAAGAAGATGTGAACTACTTGAAATAATAGTTGAAAGAGATTCGCTAAGGAGGTATTATACAATGAGACGATAGTTGTATAAAAATATATATTACTGAGATGATAGTTGGTGCAGGAGTTTGACGGTAATGACGTTTGGTCATGTTTCACATCTTCAATTATATATATATGTTTATAATAAATAAAATAAAAACACAGATAACTTGACATGGTTATCTGAGTTTTTATCGTTTTTTATGCCATCAATAACGCCATATTTTCTAGTAAAAAACAATGATGATATTTAAATATAGAGGAAACAATATCAAATTTGAAGGCTGAAAAGTTGTTACTCTTCAAAAACGAAATTTGTTAGAATTATAGTTGTATGCTGTACTTTATTAATCGTGAATATCACTGTTCAACAATGTTGTGACACGAATAATCAGTGTGATTGTACATGTTGTAACAGTCATATATACCAACTAAAACGATGAAGAAAATCGTACGAACAAAATCGGTATGAATGCCGATATTATCGTTTTTTCGTTAGGTCAAAAAAGTTTATACTTCAGATATCTGAAAAAAAGAAAATATTGTTGTAGTTTGCAAATATTTGTCTAAGTATAGCAAGCACTTCTCAAGTACTGGTTTACTTGCTAATTTCCGCTGGTATTTGTACAAGTAATTATCAACTTTATAAAGTTCTTGTATGACTTTACTTATATAAGAGTAGATGGATAGATTTTAGTGAAAGCAGGTTAACATTATGTTGTATCACGTCCTTGATTTACTTAGCTAACACTGTGTCATATGAGAAACTATTCCCTACAACTCATCGTAGTTTGCTTGGTTCACCTCGCATAAATAAGTTACGACAAACATTCTATTTTTAATACATCTGCAATGGTGTATTTAATCAATTATTTCCATATAATTCACTACGCTTACCTTTCTCAAACAAGGATGACTTGAAGAATGTAACAATATTACTGTTTGATCGGATCATTTTGTCTTTCTAAAACAGACAATTATTCCACTTCTAGCCAGTCGTGTAGATACAAACAGATCGAGTATGACCAATGCCAATAGTCTGAAATAATGATCAACATCCACTAAAAAGAATTTTTTCATCACAAATAGTATTTTAGAATACATCAACTGTTTGATACATTTTGACATGTAGATTAAATAACCTTGCAGTACAAAGACAATTACTAGTTTTAAAAGAGAATAATAACAGAATTTAATAGATATTAAAATGCTTATATTTTAGTCTATATTTTGTGAGATGTACATGGAGTACTAGTTCTTCAGGAAAGTTTCTGGAAAACTTTATACCCTGTAACAATGCTGCATCCTTTCTTATGTTTTATCATTCAAGACATCCTTTTAACCCTCGGTTACTGTCATGGGGTCCACATGGACCCACCTTACAGTTTTTTGTTGGGTACTAAAATCTCTAGCCTTTGGACGGTGTATAATATCCTCATGAAAAACCACATATAGATCTAACAGAAAAAGAATACAGATATGGGTCCACATGGAGCCCAGGACACTAATGGTGTTATAGATATGATTTTTCGCATTGTTATAACTGCCATCTGCTGCGTATCGATTTATTTTTAAAATAAATAAGTTATGATTCGTTTGCGCGTTCATCTCTCGTATTACTGACTCATATTTTCTCTATAGAGTGGTGAAGTTTTGCTATATCTTCCAAAAAATAGATAACTGCATATGCTACTGACCACTACACTACTATGTATTAGGCTGACATACCTTTCTGGGCAAATCCATTAGCGGTCAATGATGTATAACTAACAAAATCTTTGGTTTTGACTGAATGAGCAACAGCTTTAGTGGCGGTATCAGCTTCACGAAAACTAAAGGCAAAAGAAAATGTACATTTGAAAATAGTGGACTCTTTAACTTACTAAATAACATATTCATATTGTGTTGCATCTAGTTTTCTTAATATGATTTTCAACTCATGTCTCGTTCTTTTTAAGAGAACTGACGGTATGTCCACTGAGAAAACTATTACCAGCTAATTGATGTGATATAAAATAAAAAGAGATTTGTATCAATGCAACACGATGTAAAACTAGATAGATAATTAGGCGGTGAAAATGTTTCTGAAACTTATTGGCGAGATAGTATTTAGAGACCTGCAGGTCACAACTTTTTCATAACCTATAACCTGTCCTATAAAAACTTTAACAACCTATAACCTTTCATACCCTTATATCTCGTAACCTGTAACCTGTCCTAACCTGCAATATTTTTTGCGTAACCTTTTCTGTCCTCTCCTGCGAAAAAATTACTACAAAAAATGTGTACCGACGTTCGAAAATTTGATTTCTCGAAAATCTCAGCCCTGCATTCAACTTTTCCAGCTTTTCAAAAAGGGCTACGCCCTGAGATCATAAAGAACTGTCAGTGGATAACTACCCCGAGTCCACTTCCGTTGCGACGCGAGTCTCTTTAAAAATTCGCGGCAGGATCGCTGTAAGACTCGCGAAATAAGACGGGATTTTGAACTGTCCCTATTTTTTCGCGCTCATACAAAAATCAATGACTCTCAAGTATTTTACTATAGTTACTATTTATTCGTCAGTAAATGATAATATCAGTAAATGAGCCACGCTACTTTTACCGCAAACGCAGGGGAATGGCGTACGTGCGACGCAAGACTATATTATTAGTCATGTTGTAAGCTATTATAAAGATGTGATAGATTTTGAAAATTTTTCGAAAAATCAGTAAGAGTTATATACGCTTCATATGTTGTTTTCTCTCACGAGCAATGAGGAAGAAGTTTCTTTCTAGTAGTACAGCCAAGTCTACAGCTTTAGCAAAGGATATCCTTTATTCCTTAACAAA